GAGAACAAGGTCTAGCATGGCACTCCTCCTCATCGGTTCCTCGACCACTTGGAAAAAGGAAGTTGTCCTCCATGCATTCCAGGAACCTCCTGGATTTCTTGTGGCCTGCTGTGTTGTCCCTCCAACAGGTACTGGGGTGGTTGAAGTCCACCCATAAGGACCAGGGCTTGTGAAAGTGAGGCTGCTCCTATCTGCCTACAGATGGTCTCATCTGCTGGGTGGGCTTGTGAAAATGAGGCTGCTCCTATCTGCCTACAGATGGCCTCATCTGCTGGGTCTCCCTGGTCTGGTGGCCTGTAGCAGACCCTCACTGTAACATCCCCTTTCCCTGCCTTCCCCTTAATCCTGACCCATAAACTCTCCTCATCTGTCTCCAGGTGGAGCTCCATACACTCCAGCTGGTTGTTGACATAGAGGGCAACACCCCCTCCTCATCTACCCTGCCTGAAGAGCCCATATCCTTCCATTCCAACACTCCAGCCATAGAAGCCATCCCACCATGTCTCTGTGATGCCAATCAGGTCGTATCCCTGAAGGCACGCATACATTTCCAACTCTTCTTGTTTATTCCCCATGCTACGTGCATTGGCATAGAGGCATTTAAGTTCATACCACCAACTCAAAAGAAATAGGCAGAGTAACAAGATCGAGCATGCATACTAATTTACATGCCAGGTGAAGAAGCTTTGACCAATCATTTGATAAAATAACAATGTGTGTGTATTAGGAGGCTAAATACATTAATGTTTTGTGTATAAATAACCGTGGATTTGAAGACTTACTGTGCTGTCTTGGGACAAGCACCCATATATGCGCATGTATGCAATAAAAGGAAATACCTCCACTCTGTGTATGGATTGGCTCTTTGCACACCAGGTGATGGACCCAGTTTTTGGAACATTAGAGAAAATAGAGAGACAGAAAGTGAGACTTAGAGCTCAACATGTTTAGCTTATCTAAATTAGATAGTAAAGCAATTGGATTATAGTATTATTTATTTTAGGATACTACTAGCTGGCAGAAAGAACCAGACACAAATAAATTAGAACCAATATATGTATGTGCATGTATATATACATATAATTTTTTTAAAACTCTTTATAACTTCATTTCAGATCAAGAATGGGCACTTTCTGGAAGATGTGTCAAGCACAGCAAGCGAAATGTTTTAGTGAGACAAGTAGCTGTGCTCAATACAAAGTTCAACAGAGAAAAACTGCAGGCATTTCACTAGCAGGACAGGCAGAGTATAGAAACATCAACAGAGCCAATATTTAGGACAGCTTCTGGCAATTTACAAAACCTATATGCAATTTATACACAATGTATAGATTTTTTAGTTATTTGTACAACAGTACAGTGTGTATTTAACTCACCCATTTGTTGCCAGGGAGAACACCACATATTGTGCACAATACTGTCCTGATGCATCCACAGGACAATCAAAGGAAAACAATTAATATATTAAAATAATTGGATAAGGAAGCAGAAACTGGTTTCCTTGATTATCTACAGGATAATGGAATTCAAGACATTTCCCCCAAAATATGAACAGAGGAAACAGTATTAGAAATGGCTCTGAAAAAGATGTGTACACTCCATAGAAGCATGATATGAACATTCGGTCTGAGGAAGTTACAAAAATAGAATCTGTGAGTAGATCAGAAAGAGAGCAAGGCTATGGGAGCCTAGAAGAACTGAACAAAACTTGTGATTACATCGAAATGAGGGTCAATACAAGCAAGCTTTTTTAGCTCAAAGTTCTATGACACTCATTTTAGGCCTACAAACTACAACCAAATCTTGAAATTTCTCAAAAATATTTGTGCATACTTGTATTCAAATTTTGAACTGAAAGTACTATACAGACATCATCATTCCAAGACCAGGTGCAATACATTTGCTATAGCCTTGTGCACCATGGTGTAAATGGGTTGCTCTTCTGAATATTGTTTAAGAAGTTACTTCACAGGTTTCAGTCCCTTCTGTCTCTTTTTTTAAACAAATAAGAAACCACTGGATCAACTGCTGTCCCCCAGCACAAGATATGGCCAGCGTTAGGAGCTGTTACACCAAATGCACCCCCAACTACATGTGCTGAAATGTTCCTCTGAGCACATTTTGTCCAGAACTAGCAACAATTCCTTTTACTTTGATAAATTCCCATGTAGGAGGATATAATTTGGGTTACATCCATATGTCTGTTACCCTGTTCAGAATAATTAAATTGCTTATTTCTTATTTCTTTGTTAATATGTTTGGTGTGAATTTATTCATCTACAGAAATGAGAAGTATCACACAGAAAAATACTATTCTATATTTATTTGGAAACATTATCCTTTATAGCAAGGAGAAAGTATGGGAAAACAAGATAAGTAACTCCCCTGAACCACCTCTGACATGCAGGCACACTTTTTCAAATTTTGGCAATGCTCTATCAGCACAGTAACTGACAATCTGAATATTGCTGAAAAAAAACCCTTCTCATATTCTTTTTCAAAAATGCCAACAGACCAAGACAGACTCTAGGCTAGAATGACAGGTTAACAAATAAGTCAGATAAAATGGAGGTCTCAAATATAGCAAGGCATTGATGATATTCATACCTACGTATTCTAAGGTTTTATTACATGTAACACAGATTACTTGGGAAAAGCTGCTAAACTGGGTGCACCTCCATGTTAATAATATATCATTCCTTATTACTCAAAAAAAAACTAGAGTAAAAAAAAGAACTTATAGCAAAATTTAAAACTTTTCAGCATACATATGATAAAGTGAAATTGTTCTTGCAAAAAGGAGATATATCACTTGATGTATACTTTTAAGTTGCTGCGGCTGTTTGGTAGTTACTTGATTTAACATTCATTTCTTAAAGCATATTAAGATTTAAAAAAAAAAAAAAAATCAGGGAAAAGTCCAGTGTGCATTTATCAAGCCCACAGAATCGCCTTGCAATTTACATAGATATCACCTACTCATTTCTAATTTCCATCTTCACAATTGTTGTTAGCCCACATCAGAAGAAATGAACAAAAACCAACTATTACAAAATGCCTTCAAATATCAAAGGTGCCTTTCCACTTTTAAGCTTATAACCTTAAAACAATTACAATAAAATAAATTAAAAGACCCAGGATTTTTCTGATAGAGCTTGTATCAGGAAATGTTTTTCACATGTTTTTCAACCTAGTCATTTGATTCCCATACCATGAAGTTCAGGTACGTCTATTAGTCACTGGGCCCCAAAGATATCTCTGGTTTCTCTATTACTTTACAGCAAGTCCATTTCAGACTAAACTTAGCTGCTTTACACAATAAGCTGAAATATTTACAACTACTTTCGGGCAGTGGAAAAAGACAAAATTCAGCTAAGGCCCCCTCCCCTCTCTTCCTACCACATATACTTTTAAGGCATGACGGTTAACAACCTAAAATACAGCAATTCACACTGAGAATGTTTTAAGGCTTTTGCTGAAAACACTTACCTTAGTATTATCTATGGTCAGCTTATTACAGGAGTTGACTTACTAGTCAAAATACTAAGAAATGTCTGTTTCTATATACCAGAGAAACCAGTCTCCTTTTATGACTGGTTCTTGCTTTAAGCAAGCAGTGAACATAAGAAATACTTGTGTCCTCAAAGCTTACCTTCCAGTAAGTCTCTTGCCAGACCTGGTTCTGCCCCTGTGGACCGAACGAAGTCTGACAGGACTGCATCCATATCAAGAGTCATGTGATCATCCAGAGATGCTGCCAGACATGCAGCAGCAGTAGGCCTCGCTGGTTGGCTAGAAGGCATCCATCTGCCAAGGAGAGAAAGAAACAGGATGTTAGAATATACTCCAGAGTGACATAAACCATATTTTTTCTCTCTTCCCCAAACAAGACTATTAAAAACACTAAAACATTCACGTTACAGTATTAAAATAAACAGCATTTGTCATCCATCTCTGCCTCAGCCCAGAAGCTGTTGATCACTCACACTAGCTGGTTTTCTTTTTCTCACTGATTTTTCTTATGTGCAGCTTGTAAATAATTTTGCAACTTGAGGACTCCAGTCCCGTTAAACACAGGCACTGCTCATTTAAAGCACAAACATCATATCATTGTCACTATTCATACACTGAAGTTTAGCAAGTATTTAAATGTTTGGCTAGCTGTCCTGGTTTTTAGCTGAAATAGAGCTGGGTCTTTTGCCTTATTTACTAATACTATCGTATATACATCAGAGCTTAGTGTTTGTTCTTTTATTTGCCTTGTCAATATCACTTCTGTAATTTAGAGTTTCTCCACTGTACTAGGTCTGTCTGGAATGGAGTTAATTTTCTTCATTAATTTTCTAGAATTGTAGCTAAACCAGCATTGATATAAACACGAATATTTTGGTCATTGCTAAGCAGTGCTAACACAGCCTAAAGGCCTTCTCTGTTTCCTACTCTGCCCCTGCAGTGAGTAGGCTGGGGGACAGCCAGGTTAGCTTACCACAGGAATATTCCCTACCATATAAGCAACATGCTCAGCACTAAAACTGGAGAAGAGTCTTTCCAAAGTACCTATTACTCAGAGACTGGCTGGGTATCAGCCTGCTTGTAAGAGGCAGTGAGTGGTTGTCTTTGCATCACTTGCTTTTCTCCCTCCTTTTTCCTTCACTTTAATTGAACTGTCTTTATCTTGATCCATGAGGGATTTTTTCCTTGCTTTTGCTGTTCCAGTTCTCTCTCCCATCCCATTTATGGAGTGAGTAGACTGAGTGAGCAACTGAGAATGAGCTTAGTTGCTGGCTGGGGTCAGCAAACTCCAGGGCTTTGTACATAAAACTCCAGGATTTGTTAATGGCCACTTTCAGCTTTTGCTGTTTGCTATGTTGTTGATTGCTTTGTTTTTCTTCACCTGTGAGAGTTATGATAAAAGCACTAGTCTTGAGTCTAATCTGGTGTTTGGCCCATGTATTGCTACCATCCCAGTACTCTGGGAACTGTCTCATGGAATCATTTAACAATTACACTTTTCTCCTCCAGGAGCAACTTTGCTGGGAAATTAAAAATGGCACCTCTGCCTTCTCTGAGACAGATGCTTCCTGCCTTGTTGCAATGGTTCTTCAGTTTCTCAAACATCCCTGTGTAACCAGAATGCTCACATTATGGGGAAGGATTACAGCTGTCAGCCAGGTGAGCAAATTATCACTTCATTGCTCTGCCACTGGGATACTGAGGGCTATCGTCAGAAATTTGAAGATAATGAAGCCCAGCAGCTGGAATCCCTAGCTAAGGACCAGAGAATTGGCAAAGGGACTGGAAAAGGGGCAAAAATACACAGCCTCTGGAAGCAGTTCCTGTTGAGTGTGAAGGCAAAGTGTCCCCTCAAGGAAGATGTGCAAGCTACTAAGGCAATTGAACCACCATTCAGGAAGGTATCCAGTATCTGAGGGAATAGGCAGTGGTGGAGGCGATTTACAGCAACCTGGACAACAGAGTCCTCCAAAGATCTGGACAAAATTCAGTGCATGTGGCCCACATGGTGGAAGTTTGTATGGAACACAGTGACCCCATACGCCAGCACCCTGGTGGTAATGGACTGGACAGATGTCAAGGTACCAACTGTGGACAGACTGGTCTCCTAGCTCTAGTAGTTCAAAGAATATCTCTTCCTCCCAAAACCTTATGGTTTGGGCCTTATGCTAAAGGTATCTCCATACTTCTATCCTGCCTTGCACCGCCGCAGAAATAGCACAAAGCAAAAAAAACAGGATGAAGTTAGATGATACACAACTTAAGCAAAAGTGTGTGCTTTACTTTCATGCTTGTTATTCATCATTGGTCAAAGTTTACCTTTGAACATGAATTAGATTTTTTTCCTGCTAATTTCTCCTCACAAGCTGAGTTGCAACTTTACCATGTGCCAAGGGTAAGGACTAGCACGGAGACTTCCTACTGGTAGCAGATGATATTGGTTGGCTCTCGCTGACACCACAGCTACAGAGAAATAATCTGTGAAAGAAATTGTAAACCAGTTGATTTCACTGCTCTCCAAATGAAACCCAGTCTTTTCCTAATCCGTGTGCAATTACCTGGTTATATTTAAGCTTAAAAATGGAATGCCTTTGCTTCTTAGAAATTGCCCCTTTCTCCAAGTACATATCCCAGTTAGAATACAAACATCATTTACCTTCTGCTCCAGGAGGGTGAGGTCCTTCTCAGCCTCATCCATCAGGACCCTCTGCAAAATCCAACTTACTCCAATGAATTGGAAATGTCTAGGACATGGTTACACAATTACAGGTTTTTCAGGATCAAAGCAGATTATGTTGTTGCTTACCCTACCCACTTCACAGTTTTCTGGCCCCTGCACTGTACTATTGTATGTTTTATACCACTTCTACATGTATGCTTTTATACCATTTATATAACTGCCACATTAGGTTAGCAGAGGAGGTAATCCTTTCCCCTCTATTCAGCCCTGGTGAGACTCATCTGGAGCATTATGTCCATTTCTGGCTCCCCAACACAAGACACGGACATACTGGAGCAAGTCCAGTGAAGGACTACAAGCTGCACATCTGGATCACCTCTGAACAAGAGAAACATTTCTAAAGTGTAACATAATGAAGATGTAGTAACAGAAAGAAAGTTGGAAATATTGAGAAGGCTAGTTAAAAAGGAAAGTAGACACTTCAGGAAGAGAACTACCTTAGTGGTTTATGATCAATTCTGGCATCTAAGATTAGTAGCAACTGAAGCCTTTCCTCTGTTTCACTGCAAATGCAGAACAAAAATACTACTTTTATACATATAAAAAAATACTTTTGCATAGATCCACTGTACTAAACAGCACTAACATCCGTGCAAAAAGATCACAAGAAACTGAATACAATTAATTTCCTTAGTGACTGGGAGAAAAAACAAAGTAAATCTTAACCAGCAGGATGGAAACATGGATCAAGCTAAAACAACCTGCTGCAGGTGAATGATACAAAGCATTAGTGAATTTCAGATAACAATCAAAAGTGACTCAGTAGTATAATGACTGCTAATTTAAAATGCACCAGCTGAGCACTCAAGTACAGTCTCTATGTTTGTGGGGCTAGACTGTTCATAAATTTGGAAAACTGAAGTGCATATGAATCTGAAGAAGTCAATTCATGAGTTGTCTCAGTATCAGGATTATTGACAGCTGATGAAAACACAGCTCACATGCATAAGAGCCAGAGATAAGGCTAGCCATTGTTTCACTGAAAAACAGTAATTTAAACTTAAATACTATCCAGATTCCATTACATAATAATAAATAGCTCTACAGGTATAAAACAACTGCCTTGTATTGGGTGCCAAGGAAGCATACTCAATCCAGACCTTCCAAATCCATGACAGTGTGAGGAAAGTGTTTTATAGTCAAATGCTCCCTCTATACTTGTGCACTATGCTATATAATTCTCCAGGCTCTGGGTCCTGCTACTGTGCTTAGAACACCTGCACAAAAATAACCATGCTGTTTCATTCTTCCTGTTACTCATCAGGCCTAAATTAACAGCACAACATAGATTAATAGTGTTTATTCAGACAGATGGGTCTGACAAGATGGAAGAATCAATGATAAAACGTATTAATGAACATTAAAAATGAAAGAAAACAGAACAAACCCACCACCGATTACCTGAAGTAACACTGGTTCACTATGTTGGTTTACTTACAAATGAAGTAAGAGCTACAGGACTGTGCTGATTGGAGCTGGACTCCGCATAGTTTCTATGCAAACTCCTCAACAGTGCTAAGTAAGCACATCCAATGCTGTAAGAGACAACTAAAATCTCTGCTACATATGCAACCTGCTGTGGAAACTCATTCCTCACATACTGGCAAGGCCTCACAAAGCCCTTGAAACATTATAAAATGAATGTGGTGCTATCAAACCCACAAATATTAAGAGCTATAGTAAAAAAAAAAAAAAGCCCAAACCCAAACAAGCAAAAAAACTTCGAAAATCCCCCTCAAAAACCTCCCACCCCCCAAAAATCCCCTCTCCAAAACTCAAATACTAGATTCGCTATTATACCAGTATTTTACTGTTAGTACTATGTGCTAACTATTTTTATTTTTCATACAGCAAACATCACCTCTCTAGCCCATTTTGTAGTAATAACTTTCACAGTCGGCAGGTAGTCTGGCTGTTACTTGTACCACCTCCCCCCGAAGAAAAACCTTTACAAAAAGCCTGAACTACACATGCTCTACACTCTGAGAACAAGGAGCAGAGACGGTGGGAACCTTCTTGTATACATTTGAACTAACACTATTTTTTTCCCCAGAGGGAGTTCTTTTCTCAGCTATCTAGAATTTAGAGGGGAAAAAAACCCAACAAACCAAAACTCAAAAAAAAAATAAAAAAAATTTAAATTATCATCTTTGCCAGAAAACTACTATCAGCTGTGAAAACCCACCCAGACGGAATAGTAAAAACTACTAAGCAAGAAAAGAAAAAAAACTGTAAAGAAGGAGGCAGTGACTCAGAAGCCAGGTGGCTACCAGACTTACTGTTCTCACCAGATGAACGTAGCCTCTCCTCACCTACAAAACCACTGCCACCACCTTCGCTCTGGATTGCTAGTCAAAGCATTAACACAACTTACATTTTCTGTTGAAAATGTACACTCTAACACAATCATCCATATTATATTCACCTATCAATAAGCATCACTCTTCTTGTGGTTAACAGTATAGACACACATATATACTTGCAGTTTTCCTTTCAAATGTGCCACACAGTACACAAACAGCACTTTCTTATTTATACAATGTAAATAAAAGAGGAAGTGGAAGGGGATAATTTGCTGTATATCGCAAGAAAAAGCATTTTTAAAGTATTTAAAGAAAAGGTACTGATTGCTTCTAAATGTTAAGATGGGTTAATAGAACTGGAAATCAATTTAATACAGTCTCAGTTGTTCTTTTCTTCTCCTTTAAAGTATCTCCCTCTTAAAACTGAGCCATACTTGGAAGTAAATCGTCTTCATCTGAATCTCAATTTGATTTGTTCAAAATCAAAGAGCTTCTTACAGTTAAACAATACGAAGATTTTTTTTTTTTTCCAAACAGGTGGAAAGAGATGCATGGGGCTAACTAATGAAGCAAAAGCAAGTATGTTAAAACAAATCCCATGCTTCCAGAATACAAATAGCTGACAAAACAAAGTGAGGAACAGAAAGAAAACAGTGCACAAACTGTGCACAGTGGACAAAGCCTCAGGAAGACATGATGATTAAACTGCAACTAAGATCTTTCACTTTCCTAATTTTCAAAGAAAGGATTAAAAAAGCACCATAAATAATACGCTCAGTCTCAGTGCTCCAGGAAGCCAATGGAAAGACACTGATTGCATAAACCGGTTCCCCCACACACTTTCTTTAATTTCCCTGCAGTATGACAAGGCTAAATGCTTATTAATATTACTGATTCTTCTCAGCTGGCTTGGCAATACACAGGCTAAGTGCAGATCACTCTTGTGTTCAATGTTCATGCTGTTTGCACTTTTGGTTGTGAAGGCAGAAAGACTCTGTGCACAGCTGCAGACTTTGAAAGTAATTCTTTCTGACACACCATATTTGATGGAGAATGTAATAATTCTACAATCTTGACAAAATCATGAAGTTGAACCAATGTACTAAATAAGACCATTTCTTCTTAGTGAAACGTTTATATTTTTTAAGCTCAGGCTGTGCAATTTCTCATTCTTTTCTGCATACAAAATGTATTTACTTACAGTTTCAGAGACACTAATTTTTTAGTAAGCCAGAGAGTTTTTATTTGGTTATTGCATTTCTAAAGTTACTCCACTCTTCATTAGGTAACTGCTGAATATTGTGTGTGAAAATTATACAGCTAGCAATTTTAAGCCATAAATGGACTAAATATTGCTTCTTAATAGAGTTCATTGGTTTACAGAAGTAAGGGTATTATGTATCACAAAGCAGGCAATCTCCCTGCATCTGCGCAATGAAGATGCCGATACAAAGTACATTCTTGTCCTGTTTGTTCTGAATCTATAAACTACTCTTCCAAAACTAGAGGCAACTCCCTGCCCAAAGTTTGCATAACTATGCAAACGACTACTAACAGATAGTTAAGAATAACTATAAAAGCATACTTCAAATTTTCAGCAAATGAAAGGGAAATCATTCTATTCAGAATACTGTTATGAGTTACACAGAAGCTACCTGAATAATCTCTTTACTGAAATGCTCACTCTAAGTGATTTGAAAACTTCCAAATGTTTCTGAAATAGTTAATTTTAATTAGTCAAAATTTTGACAATTGTCTTATTGTTCTTTTCTTATTTCTTAATCCAGTTTAAACTTTAGCAGTTTAACTTCTATATTTGTATAAATAACAATGGATTAAAACCTCTGCATGGCCGTAAATTCACATCACTTAGTTGTTATCTTCTTGATACATTTGTATACTTAATTTTACTGCTTGCAGAAAGAAAAGCTTGTTTTCTTATTTTTCTTGGTACTTTGAATTTAAATGGCCCAGCAATGTGGCAATTACATTTAACAGAGTTCTGCTGGTGTCTGGGATTTCAAATAGTTTTTTGTGTGTTAGTAAGAATACAGTATTTAGACTGCCATGTGGCATTTGCAGGTGAGTATGTTGCCCAACCAATGCACTACTGGAGTGACTACACTAAATCAATAATGCTTATGTATTACTTCTACAAAATATATCCTTGGACAAATTTACCATAGTAATTAAGTCAAAACTGAAACACACTAACTTCATCTTGGAAGTATGATTTTCTTCTTCTAAAAAAAAAAAAAATCAACTAAAAAATTAACTTCCAACAGAAAGAATCCCATTTCAGAGAAATTCCAAAGCAGAAGCTACATAATGAGAAGTCTTATAAAATTTCAGCTTGACTGATGACAGCCGAGTTCGACATTGTGCAACTCTCAAAATTTATAAGGAGAAATTATCTGGCAAATTACTCAACAGCATCTCTAGCTATATGAAGAAAGGTGGACAGATTTGTAATTCGGGTTTTTTTTTTATTTATTTACTATGATCCAGTAATTGGAAGGAGGAATAATAAACCATGTAGAAATCTGTTCAGGCACACAAAGGTGTGTAGCTAGTGCTACGCTAGATATCACACAGTATCTTCTGGGTTTCAGCTGCTGCTCCAGAAGTGTATGGGTCTGCATCATATTTGCTAGTCCCATGAGGCTATCCCAGATAATACAGACTTTTCAAAATGGCCATACACATCTCCGTGTAAGTAACATACCCGAATGACCTATTTCTACCGATAATACTTATCAGGTACATATTTAGGTACCTGAATTACATCTGAAATACTGAAAGGTCCAGAACTTGGCAATTTTTTAAAAAACTATATCTTTATTTCAATATTCACCTTAATTTATCAATACTGCACAAGAACATAAATAAATACGAACAACTGGACAGAAATTCTGACACCAAATTTTTCCAGAAAATTCTTAAGTTCTCAAGGCGGTTTTTTCCCAGATTTTAGCTGGAAAGACACACACAGTGTCTCAATAAACACATTCAAATAGAAGCTGGCTCTGTTTCCTAATGAAAGTAGCTCTTGAGTGTTTGAGTGACAAAGAATAAAACTGGTTACAAAGAAATATTTCACACTTTTTGTTCACTCAGGACATCCTAGTTCCCTTTGCAGGGATTCCACTGTTCACATAGATTCCAGGTCTTAAACTTCTACAAAAATCTTTCTAGTATTGCTCTAACTTGCATGGCATTGATGCTCCTACCAGCAGGATACTCCAGCCCACCAGAAATTAAAATTTGTAAATGAGTGGACACAAGACAGCTTTTTCATACAATCCATAAAGATGCTTAAGCCATACACTCTCAAAACAGATCTCTCAGATCATAGCGGATTTAATAATTGAAGAGTAGATATAATAATTGAAGACAGTAGAAAGCTGGGGAAGGACTTTTCATAAGGGCAGTTAATGACAGAACAAGGGGAAATGGGTTTAAGCTGAAAGAGGGTAGGTTTAGATTAGATATTAGGAAGAAGTTCTTCACTGTGAGGGTGGTCAGACACTGGAACAGGTTGCTCAAGGAAGCTGTGGATGCCCCCTCCCTGGAAGCATTTAAGGCCAGGCTGGATGAGGCTTTGAGCAACCTGATCTAGTGGAAGGTGTCCCTGCTGATGGCAGGGGCGTTGGAACTAGATGACCTTTAAGGTCCCTTCCAATCCTAACCATTCTATGAAAGTCTATAAGTCTATTCTATATTAATACTCAGAGTCCTATAACACAGAATTTTAAAGGTCAATTAAAAGAAAGCAATTCTCTCAAGTATTTTTCTGTTACACTTTGTATTTATCCTATTCAAATTAGATTAGAGATTACTTCACCAGCCTCGCACCTGTTTTGTTCCAAGCAGACATTTATCTTCAAATAGCTTCCAATTTTAGCTGCCAAGAATATAAAGATGAAAACCAGTTTCTAACCTCACAGTCAGAAGAGCATCTCCCATAGAACTAAATGTGTATTATAAATTTTTATGACAGATTAAACGGACATAAATTTTTGCAATCTGTTTTGTATGACTAAGCCCATGCTGCTCACAGAACTCCAATGAAAGAAACAAAATATTTTTCAGGAAACATATCTGTACAAACTGTTCCATTTAAGCTATTGTACATTTCACGAAAATGCCTCTTTACTGAGCTAGGAAGACCAGCTCCTAAATCATACAAGCACCTTTAATCTGACTCCATTCAAACTAACTGTACTTGACTGAGTTTTACCACCAGAATGGCAAATCACTCTGCTAAGAAGCACTGCATAATTCCATTACAGAAGGGACACATGGTCACAACTTCTTTGCAATAAAAATCACCCAGTTCTGCAAAATCTGTAAAAAATGCTTTAAAAAGTTGTTGTATGGATAAGATCATGACAGCAGATACAGTTACAGCGATAGCATTAGTTAAAGCAGCCAAAATACTACCTAACAAAAGGTAACATGCACTAGACCTGGTGGCAAAGTGGGGTATTTGTATGTTAATTATAAAACACGAAGTGTCAAAATATGTAAGATAACAACACAACATTTAGTGACTAGTACAATTACGGACCATCTACCTTCTCAAGTATAACATATCAGAGTGGATGGAACTCAGGAAAATTAACCCAAATTAATTTAACTGGATTTGTCCATGTCCATTAAATTCCTTTGCAAACACTTTCATCTGGGAATTAAAAGTGGCCTTAATTTGGTTTGGCTCATCTTGCCTTCAAAGTGGCTTAAACTAAATTCACTGGAGGTCACTTTAATTATGAATGGGAGAGTGCACACAGAGACTTGGTGGGATTTGAACCGGTCTCTAAATTCCTAAATTTAGTCAACTTGCATCAGTTTCCCTCAGTACCTTGTGTAGACAAGCCCTGAACTGATACATTACAGACAGAGGTGAAAAAGTAGAGAAGGAGGGAAGCTATGCTGAAGAATCCCCAGTCAAGACACTTAAACCCTGTGGGAACTAGCAAAGAAGATCTATTATCCAAGAGAAGAGAATTGTTCAACTATTTTAAACTCAGTTCTAGGAAGAATACTGCCAAAGTTCAGAGACCAACTGGGAAGAATTTTAAAAACGCAGATACATCTCAGTTTTCAGAAATGCTATTTATTTAAAAGGTCTACTGTTTGCTTATTTGAAATATTTGAAGCTAGAACTACTGATAAAGGATGTCATTAACCATCTTTTAAGGCAATTTATTTAAGAATTAGAGGTTATAACGTACTATTGGAGGCTAAGATGAAAGAAAGTAGAAAAGAAAACTTGAAAATATCATACTGCATTTAAAAGCTATGGCACACTCCCACTGAATAAACATTATGGAAAACTATAGACACTTAATACCTTAAAATACCTTAGTCCCCATAAAATGTTCTGAAACATCTACAGTCAATGATAACAACCAAGAGGTCCTTTACTTGCACTCCACCGCTGACGGCATCCTAGCAGAAAGCACAGCACCAGTCCTACGTCAGATGCACATGCAGGAGGATTAATCAATCTGCTCAGATGTTCTGCTGGAACATTTTTACAACATATTTTCTGGAGCTTCAGAGGGTTTTCATAACACTAGTGTTCTTAGTCAAGAATGCTTACATTCTCAGGGGGAAAAAATATCATAGATAAATGAGGAGTTCACAGAAATAGGGGTCCAGAACTGAAATAAACCAACAAGCAGGAGACAGCACCTTTCCAGGTAAGGATCCTCTACATCACTTCATCAGTATTTTTTTTAGGATAAAATAACACCATTGCTATAATGTTTTTGCTTTTGTACAGGACAACAGATAAAGAAAATGAACATAAGGCAATTACAAGGTTTCCCTTATTTTCTTTACAAGGGCCCTCATAGTGTGTTAATTGTATTCTGGCAGAAAGTAAGAGATAAACGTAATGCCACTGATAAAACTGGAATTTCTCTAAAATAAGGAGCTCCATGTTAAATAAAATTAATGTACCAATTATTCTTTCATCTGGGAGACTGATAAAGAAGTAGGCAGCAATATACTGTATTGCACTGGAAATATAACAATTAGGGTTTCAAATGTTAATCTGAGGCCTTTTATTAAATGCACACTTTCATTAAGTAACACGCATCTCTTCCACTAGAATATATCTCTACAGAAGCAATATGGACAAGCTGAACTTTTTTCCTCATTTATAATTTTTTCCTGACACTGCAAGAAGATACTGTTTCCAAAAACTGAAATATACCTCCAAATGATATCCTTCTTTCAAATAAAGAAGGTATGCTGGCCAAAACACTAATCTTAACACAGTTTTCTCTCACAAAAACATACATCATCTACTCTGCAAATACTCTGCATGCAGAAAATTGACTTCAGTACATAAAAAGCAAGTACGTAATGGTCTGAATAACCATTATTAGATATATGTAATGTGGAGTGTCATTAACTTTTTTCAAGCTTGTGTTGGATTAAAAAAACCAAACACTTGGGCCTAGAAGCACCACAAAATGCATGCAGCTTAACAATCAACACAACGAAGACCAGCTGAACCACTTGCTGTTTCTTACATTTTGAGTTATTTAGCGCCCTATTTCTACATTGCAAATTCTAAAATAAATTGTCATAGCAACAGAAGTCTAAGTCTTAATTTACAATGCAGATAATATTTTTGATCATGTTATTCATGCACAACTCCATAGCTTCTGATTTGTAATGTACTGCAGTCAACTTTTAATGGGGGGTGTGGGGAGAGGAACAGAACACCCAGGTATGACGCATTGGCATGAAGTGGTCAGGAAGCAGCTCAACCTCCACCTCTGTTTTACAGCAAGTTACTTCCTCCTACACTTTCATTTAAGAACAAACAGCTACTGCTGAAAAGCCAGACTGCTAAGATTAGTTGTCCTGTTAAGGCTGTTTATTCTTGAGCTGTAAATATATACATCGCTGATTAAAGCTACCTTTAAACAAGTTTTTAATTTGACTTACTTACAACAGACTTAAATAAGAGTTCCTTGAGGCATGTGTCAGATGGATGTTATGCTGCTGGTTTTTGGTGAGGAAAATAATCCATTTTTGCCACAGTAGAAGGTATGAATAAGCAAAATTTTGTCCCCTGAGAAATCTGAAAAAAAAAAAGGTAATATATTAATAATTGTACTTATTCTATGCTATTTGAATAAAAAAGATAACTGTCAAAAATCAACTCTACCTTTGACCTTAGGAGCCTAATTGATGTACTACTCTCAATGAAGATAAATTACTATATACAATAATTTGCACTGAGAAAATTACTTGGGCACAACCAAGATAATTAAGAAAAAAAAATGTATTATGAACACATAAAAATATCCTTATGGTTGCCCTATGTGAAAATGGTAACTCACGCTTAACAATTCCTCTAGCAGTTCTCTCTCTAAAGATTAATCAAATACATCTTGGAAGTTTTTGTTCTCATAAGCAATCAAAACCTAAGGCAATGAACTACTGATGAGTTATCCAAGAGAAGATTCAACTAGGACAGTTGTCTTCTTTCATGGAAAAAACTGACAAATGTGAAGAAAGAAGGAATACTACTTTATTTCATGGGATTTAGAATTTATGCATTTCCCTTTGCATATCATCTACTCCTATCTCTTAAGTATAAATTCTGCTGCTTGAAAATACATAATCCAATTACTATAAGCCTCACCTTATTATTTTAAGAGGCACTTACAGTCAGTTTTACTGTTTCTGTTTTTTTAATCCACTCACAAAACTCATACACTTGTAACTGGGCCGAGCCTTATCAAAATCAGTATTTGACAGATACCTGACCAAACTCTTTCATCATGGAAGACATTCCTTCTGATGATGCTGTTAAAACATGTAGTAAAATAACAAAGTCCACGATTTTTATGAGTTTGTGAGAATTATCATATGGAAACAGAATATTATATTATTTCTCATTATTTCCTATAATACATACAGAAATAACAAAATCGCAGTAGGTCTTTATGCAAAAAATCCCAGTTGTCTGTGTAACAACTCAACTGTAACATGAAGTGTTTGTGAGCTAATATATAGTACTTAATAAGATTCCTAGCTTTTTTTTTTTCCCCCTTCACTGTGATATATTTTCATGCAAGAATCATATATGTGACCACAGAATTATCTTCAATTCTTTGTTGAAACTTACTTATGAATGTACCACATCACAAATATCCTCATACAGAAGTAGATTATTTAAAATTCAGAATAGCATAGAGTCATTTCATACACTGCAAAGGAAATATAAGCAGCAAAGTACATTTGCCTATGACCCTCATCTTTATCACCCTCAGAGAACTTAAAAAAAAAAACCTGTAAAACTCTCAACTTAGAGAAGTAACTTTTAATAGCTCTAATACTTTCAAAGGTACTTCAGCTGCAAGGGACAGAAATAGCCATCGAGTGTGAACATCCTCAACATTACTATGTCTACCATGTTAACAAACTGAAATATCTACACTATTAAACTGCTATTAGCTATGGGAAAATAACCAAAAACTCTATTACCCCACCTATACTAAATTATCCTAAAAATTATACCATTTAATTTGCCATTGTAAATAAGTGATCTAAAAGATTACTATGGATACTACGATTGTTAGGGCACAAGAAAATGCATGTAGCTCAGCCCTTTTTGGCATTTTTCTCACACACACACTCTGCAGCTTCAAGAATTTATTTCATTTTCTGGGGTTTTGTTTTTTAGTTTTTATCTGTTTCACTGACAGTATAGTGTGCAAAAACTCAAGTTTATATATAACTTGCAGTGAAAATTGTAGCAGTCATTGCTATCCCTTCAAGTAATTTCTTCAGTCATTCTGTGAAATTTCAGCTCTTCCTTACTAATGTCCATTCACCTGACTATCTACCGTATGGGAGATGATAATCAAAATCTCTACAGGAATCAAACATTAAAGGCTGACTTCAGATCTTAAGAACTTAATTTTATTATTATGAATAGTCCTTCTGAAGGAGCCTTCTCCCTTCTCTTTACCCACTGATTAAGCCTAGACTAAGGTTAGCTGCTGTGAAAACCCAGTTTAACATCAACCTTAAATACTGCTTACTCTCTCTTGCATTCTCCTGTATAGTGGGCCAATAAACTGAAGAATGCTCCTCACATGACCACAACTTGGTCAATGACCAATTATACAGAGATATAAATATACAGAATAAAATTATAATTAGCTATCAAAAGGTTCAGGGTGTAATCACAGTTGCAATTCCTTTATAATTCTGGGGATGAGTTTTGAATTTATCTTTTCATATTTGCATGGTCCCTGCAATAACTTCTATGTGAACTTAGCAAAGAAAGGAGGAAACAGATTAAAGATGCTACATGCATATTTCAAAACAAAGAACTTGATCTCAAACGGGTGTTTTGAGGGCAAGAAGGAGTCTTTGCAAAATCAATTGGGGCCAGATGGCAGAGATCTTCATTAATAATGAATATTCACAGTAACTTTCTGTTTTTCCCTATTTCTGTCTGACATTTTCAAAGTAATCACCGACAAGGAGCTGAAGAATCCTCCTCTACTAAGTTTTCAGAAGTACCTCAATTCTTTTCTGAGACTCTCATGCAATCCTTGTCCTGAACTCAAAAGGGGGTCTCATTTTCCACTTCTACTTCTGACACAGGACTGAAATACTTCCTACAATCTTCTCAGCAGCTTCGGACCAGCTGCATGGTGCTGATAACCTTCTCTGCTTATATTCTGTTCAAGCTGGATCAGCATCTCTCAACAAAGCCTCAAGTGCATGCTCACTTCCATCATTTTTGTTTCATGCATGCAATATGAAGTAGTTTTAGGACAAGACAAAAGCATTATCTTTTATAACATCAAATTTGTGCTTACTTTCTGTTAAGATGAGGTTTCTTCAGTGTAAGTTCTACATTCAGAACAAGGCCTTGTCTACAACTACAATGCTCAGTGGTTCTTTGCAAAGATTTAATTTGGCTCAAGCAACATATGAAGGAAAAGATGTCTCTAATAACAAGGAAGCAGTAATATTTAAGAAGTGATAGTAACATCACCTGAAGGAAGATGTTTTTATGGTAAAGATGGCCACTATCAGTACACAGGTCCTCTTAAAGAGAAATTACAAGCATCGAAGAAATTATTATTCTAGTTATGGGAAGTGGCTCTGCCATGTTCTGCAGATGTTCATGTAGAAAGCTGTGGGGGAAGGGTACAAAATTTGACACACTGAATCTGTCTACAGCTCATCCACAAAAGATCTATGACTGGCTAATGTTTCATATTCTTACAGACACCTTTTACAGTTACATTATATCTCAGAGTAAAGCAGCACTTTGATGATCTAACTTTTTAAGGACCAGTTTGAGCATAGTCTGAAGTGCTAGCACAGATTTTCCTTTTGTACTGAACCTTCATCACTTGAAATCTCCTTGTAACCACTGCATGAGAAACACCTATCTAGTCTCTATGGTTTGTTACAAGTTACTGGTGAAGGAAGAAATTTCTCCTCTAGCTATAAAAATTCTTATTTACCCTGAATAGTGGTCCTTCCATGTCAGACATGAAACACATTTCTCCTCTTCTTGGCTTATGCTGGTTTAACTCAGAAAACATGTGCAGTGGATTGAGCTGACAGGGATATGAAGGCAGAAGCTTAAAGGACATCAAAAGCGTTAGCATTATGAGCTTTGTATAAACAGTCTTATTGCTACAATTCTCCAAGCATCCTTTAACCTCTTGTACATAGAGATTAGAGAAAGGCTGAAATGCTGAATTTTATGTCAAGTGCACAGTCAACACATTAAGAGTTCAGTATAGTCTTTTAAAGTGGAGTCTTCAGCATATTCAGGTCTTCAGCCTTGAGGCAGACAATTCAGCTGCTATTTTAAACACAAGGCCTGACTATTTGTTACTCTTCATTTTGCACTGTTTCTCACATTAAGGTAAAATACATAATGGCGATTTTTCCACGTTCCCCTTAAAATTACTCATCTCACCAACTGGTTCATCCCACAGCTTCACTGACAGACTGATGGGAAAGTTCCTTCTCTTACAAGTACTGTAAAAATAATGGCAGAATTGAACTTCTCGGATTCAGATTAGGTATAAAATGCAAGTCCTTGTAAATCCTTAGATGCATATAATGTAGAAATAACAGCAAGTTACTAGCTTGCCAGGTATTCATATAATGTGCTGGAATTCAACAGTAAGCATACCAGTTCAGTGTATAAGCAGCTAAATAAGCTACAGCAGGAAACAGCTCACACAGACACATTACGTAGCAAAACAGAACTGGTAATTTCCCCCAACACTGTGACTCCCATCCTCATTTCTGTGAAACATGACGTTCCTCTGTGATTGCATTTAGTTTGGAAAACTAAACTAAGAATAATAGAAAATGTAATTATAGAATCATAGAATGGTTTGGGTTGGAAGGGACCTTAAAAATCATCTAGTTCCAACCCCCCTGCCATCAGCAGGGACACCTTCCACTAGACCAGGTTGTTATTTTTCCTACTAAAAACTATGTTTTAATGCCTTCTTTAGAACAACTAGAAATACCAAGGAGAAATTAAAGATCTAAGATATGGAATCTGGAATTATTCATTTCACAACATTTTGAAGATGTATAATTAAAGTATAGCAACTGTGTGTTTCACTTAAACTACGTAACTGACAGTCTGTGAAGAACTCATGAGAAAAACTGAAAACCATGCATCAGACGAATCTAGAGAGAAAGCATTTCTCCTCCTATTTGAATTGTATGGAACACTATATATCATAGATGCAGTATTAAAGGCCATTAAACAACTCAGTAGCTATACTGGTGACTGATCAGTCACAGCTTGTCACATAGCTGATCAGCAACTGAATCTTGAACTCTTCCTCAGCTCAGGTTGTCAAGCTGTAGGGAAGTCTGCAGTGAAGCTCATGCATAACATTTTATATTGATAAAGAATTGAAACGTGACTATAATAAATTATAATAGATACTAACCTGTTTTAAGTATGCTGAAGACACTCATTCCTACAGTCACCACAGCAGGATTAAAGCACAATTTTTATAAATCATGTTCAATTGTTGGAATCTTTGCTTATGTTAAAAATCTGCAAGT